CGCCCCCACGTGCTGGCCAAGGCACGGCTAGACGCGTCTGCCAAGCGTAGGCACGTGCCTAGTACACAGATGGAATCCTTAACGACGTTAGGGAATATTCTGTCCAAAAGAAAGCATATTCTATTAAAATTAACTTGACGCCATTAACTGTCGTTAGGAATATTTCGTTAGAGTTGACGGAATATTCGTCGTCTTCTCTGGTGATCTTCGTCGGAGCTGCCACCGGCCGCCATCTGCATGGCCGGAAATTGGGAAAATTTTCAAATCTTCGTATCTTCATTTCTCAACCAAATTCCTTGAAATTTGTACCAAAATGAAGCTTACTATGAGTAGAACAAAACCTTACCACTTTGAAGCCTCATAAATGTTGGAATCTTTCCGGAGAAATCTCACAAAATCCGGCCAACCTTAGAACTTGCTATCCCAACGTCCAAAATCCTTCAAACTTGTTCCCCGAGCTTCGTGATAAGATTCTAAAGCTCCCTATAACCTCAAAACTCGATGAAACCTCTGTGATCACGAGTGCATGAACAATGCATGAAAACTGGGTTCTCGGGTTTTTGAGGGTTTCAAGTTCTAAAAATGGTATGGATGAACTTAGGAGCTTGCAAGGAGTTCGAATCTTACCTTCTAGATGTCGATCTGTGCGTGAAAGGTTAGTTTTGAAGTTGGTCCGTACACTTGCAAGGGAAATGGAAGAAAATTCGAGAGAAAGAAGAGAGAGGGAGTCACGGGGAAAAAAGGATGGGTGTGTGAGAGTGTGTGTGTGTGGTCCAAATGGCAACCCACCAACCAAAACAAATCAAACACCCTACAACGCTAATTAACGTCCAGGGGCAAGATCGTCTTTTCACGCTAACGTTACAAATAATTTGGGACGGGCTGTCACAAAAACACCTTGTAGGTAAAAAGTTTGAAATTCTCCAAAGCTTTGCTAAATTCTCTCAATGTTGCGTAGAGAACCTTAATGGCTAAAAATATTATTTATACTACTACAAAATAAAACGATAAAAGGTCTTAGAATAAAAGTAGAAAACATAATAAAATAATAAAACAGAAAATAAAAGGTTTCCTATTTGAACTAAAATTAGGACTTCTCAGAAAATCAGACTTTTAACCCACCAAATCAACTCCGATTTGGTCCCAAAAGGTTTATTTTGAAAGCTTAGGTCGTCCCCTACAAATCCTCAGAAGGAATCTTCCTTAAAATATACCATATTGACCTCCAAAATTCTCAAAACGTCCAGAAATGTCAATCTGGTAAAGCAGCGCTAGGCCTTTATTTCATTTTCACGGTCAAACGGCTTAGTAGAAAAATATAAAATTTTGATACAATAATCTTGAAAGACTCATGAACAACCTCCAATTGAAATCACCAAAATTCATCAGTTTGATCACTTTTTGCTCTAGAGGAAATTGAATGTCCTACATTAAAATTATATAACAAAGAATCAAAATTCTACCAAAAAAACCAATAAACTATAATTAAGAATAGGGTAAAATATATGGTATAATATGAACTCATCAGTGATTCAGATGTATGATTTGAGGAACCCCCATATGTTATTAGGGATGACCTTGACCATGATTTGTAGTCCCGTAGAATTCTGAAAAAAAGCTATCGTATTCATTTCGTTAAAAAACTAACTGAAAATGAAATAATTATAAATAAAAAAAAAGTCCTTTAATAATCAATTAATACTCCCCATTTTTCTCTGCATGAAATTAAATAATCCTCTCTAGCTATGTTCTTTTCTTTTGTCTGACCAAATACCTTTCTTTTTGATTAATTTCTTCACGGATACAGACAGTCTCAAGGGATCAAGTAAAGCTATTTCGATTGGCTGTGCATGCAGTAGTGGTTCAACCCCACCCCACCAACAAAAGAAAAAGAAAAAAGGGAGATAATCAAATCTTATTTCATGTTTTTAAATTGATTGATGCAGTATGCGGAGGCGGATGCAAGGCCAATACAAACATACAAGGGTGGAGTCAAGATTTTTTTTTTTTTTTTTTTTGGGAGGGGGCTAGCTGAAAATAGTATCATAAAATCATATGTTTATTTTTGTACTTATATAAAATTATATAATAATCAATATAAAAGAATAACAATATAAAATAAACTATTCTCAAAATTATAACCCTAATTGATAAATTCAAGGATCATATAAATAATTAACCTACTAATTAAATCAAGAATAAGTAAATAAAGAGATTAAGAACGTATAAAAGGTGATTCATTGGAAAATAGCAAAGAAAAATAAGGAATTGCAGAGATAGGGATTTAATTGTGGATTTAAAAAAATATTTTTCATTTCTTGAGTAAGAAGCATAGAGGCTAAGTTACATAGGGTAAATGATCTTTTTACTTTAAAGAGTAGGATAAAGGGGGACTGGAGATAGAACTAATTTATAATTTTTAGCATAAAATGTATTATTTACTACCTATCCTCTACTAAATATACATTAAATAATAATCTGTATTGAAATTGAGTAGGCTATAAGCATGAGTTTACAAAAGAATATTTCTATTCACAAACCCATTTTTACCTCCAACACAACCTTATTAATTTTTTGTCAATGATCATCTTCAATTCATTCGATCTGAACAACCAAAAATTGAGAGGGAAGTATGAGAAGTAAAAATGAGTGCATGGATAACACTATCCTTACAGAAAATCCCCTTGAAGTACAGTCCACCTTAGCCTTGTGGGTGGCTACGCCATTGCAGCCACACAACCTTCGAGAGACCAAGGTCTATGACAAAAGCATAAGGAGCACAAACAAGTATTGATCATATCCCGGGATGACAATTTCGCCCACGGATTTGAGTACTCGTGGGGCTTCGATCTTAATTGGTCAGGTTTGAAGGACAAAAAACGGAAATGTGGAAATTCTCAGATAAGATGTTCGGAGCGGAGTGTGTATGGTATCTTAACATGCAATCCGAACCTGCCCCATATGGAGTATATATAACTATCTTTTTTCATGGTGATATTGATTCATATATTTTTGGAATTTTAGGACCATATAATTGTGAAATGGTGACCACGTCTTAGATGTTATATTTCCTATGTTTTGTGGACTTAAAATATTGAGAAACACATTTATGTTTGGATTTACTATTATTGATTATTTTGAAAGGTATTAATTTTTAGTTGAATAAAATATTTTAATTTTAATATTTTGTACCCTTTAGGGGTGGGGCTGGAGAGAATCCTCCATTTAAATAAGAAAAACTAATAAAAATGATTTAAAAACTTCGAATTTAACTAAAAGTTATCATATAACTTTATTTAATGATAAGAACAAGAAAAATAATAATAATAATAATAATAATAGAAGACCTTATTTTTTTCGCGTGCAACTCAATGGCAAAAGGCCGCGGGCTTTGATCCTCACCAAGGAGCTGCTCAATTAGCACTCTCAGGCACTTGCATGAATTTCTTCAAACACTGAGGTTTTCTGGGTTTTCACGCACTTCAATTTTGTTTTCACCCACTTCAAACACTGAGGCACTTGCATGAATTTCAAAGCTCTGCAACTTTGTAGCAAGGTTGGGTTTGATTTGGGTATCTCATGAAGAAAAAGTGGAAAAGAAAGGGAGGAACGACTGGGTATCTCATGAATAATGCCATGGGCATGGGTATCACCACCATCATGAAGGTGGTTGTTGCTCAAGGGATGTAGCGAAACCGGAGAAGGCACTATTTTTAAAACTGAACCAAAAAATTAGATTAAGAAAGAGACATTGTTTATGAAACTGGACCAAGAAAGAAAAACTATTTATGTATGAAACTGGACCAAAAAGAGACATTATTTATGAAACTGTACCAGTTACTTTACACTATTTATGGAATTAAACCAAGAACGAGACGCTATTTATAAAACATGACCAAGAACTAGACACTATATATGAAAGTGCTCTAAAAACTAGACACTCTTTATAAAACTGGACCAAGAATGAGACATTATTTATGAAAATGTACCAATTACTATACATTATTTATGAAACTGGACCCAATAACTAAACACTATTTATAAAAGCGAACCAAGAACTAGGCACTAGTTATGAATCTGGACCAATAAATAGTATAGTACCATTCAGTTTCATAAATAGTATAGTACAGTATAGTTTGATAAATAGTGTAGTACCGGTTAGTTTTATAAACAATGTTTAGTTTCATGAATACTATAGAACCATTCAGTTTCACAGATAGTGTAGTACCATTAAGTTTCATAAACAATGTAGTACTATTCTGCATCATAAACAATGTATATGATGGACGCGCGTCAGGTTTTTTTTATTTTATATATATATATATATATATATCATAATTGTGTCATATTCATTAAAATTTAAATTATTTTGTCCTCTATATTAAAATTTGAGGGTTTTTCTTTAAAATTTAAGTTTTTTACATTAAATAAAAATTTAGCATGATTTTTTGTATATATATATATATATATCATAATTGTGTCATATTCATTAAAATTTAAATTATTTTGTCCTCTATATTAAAATTTGAGGGTTTTTCTTTAAAATTTAAGTTTTTTTACATTAAATAAAATTTTAGCATGATTTTTTGTTAAAATAAACTTAGCCCAAACCCTTTTCATGAACGCTCCCATTTAAATATGGGTAAGAAGGTGGGGATGAGGATTGTAATGACATTCTCATTACCGCCACTATAGAAAAAATGTATTACGAGATGGAATAGCTTCATCTGCAAAAAATTTGGACGACAGAGGATCGTCGGTCAATTTTCGTAAGGTCAAGATTGTCGCACGGAGTTTTACCCATAGACACAAATGTCTGTTGGCTAAGTTCATTCTAACCCGACGAATACATTCATCATGTAGGAAAAAAATAGCACGACAGAGGTGATTTCACACAACGAACTGTACCTTGTCGCCGTTTTATATTAAAATAATACAATGAGATAATCCGACGAACACTCCGTTGAGCAAAAAGAGTTTATGTAGATAAAAAATATTAAACACAAAGATTAAAAAAAAAATATTAGAACCCAAAAAAAAAATTGTAAAATTGAAACTAAATATATCCAACCCAAAAAAATTGTTGGTTCTACAGGAGGTCTTGATCACTGATAGGGCGGCTTATTGGACAACCACATGGGGGTGCTCCTGGGACGACTGCTGGGGAGGCTATTAGGATGGCGACACAAGCTCGAACGGCGGCAATGGAATCATAATGCTAGAAGCTGATAAGTTCTGGGCTACGACCATGAAGTACTGGTAGACTAATTCCTTTTGGCATGCCAACTCCTCCCCACCTGCTAAAGTCGAGAGTCGGTCTCGGTCGCTGCAGTTGAACTCGACGAAGAACATGAACTAACCCTTTCTTCGGCCCTGAACTTCCTTGCCCTTCCTTCGGCCAACCCTATCCATCAACATCTAAAGAGACACCTCTGAGTCAGGTGTCAGCTCCTCAATAGGTATGTGAGGATGCTACTGAAATGGAGTGGTGAGATACTCGTCCTTCTTTTGTACCATTGAAGCCAACAAAATATATATATATATATATATATATATACACACACACACGAAGTTAGCCAATTGGAATTTAAACCAAAATTATAGTAATTAAAAATAAAATACTAAGTTATGCAAGAATACTTACATAAATCTCATCCGCAATATCGTTGCCATAGTTGGCATGGGTCTACCCCCGACCACCACCTCCGGGAACTTCTACCTAGCCTCCCGCCGTTCCTCGACCCAGTAAGACAAGGTTCGAGAGCCTGAGTGGTGCTCGTACTACTTTTGCTCTCGGTTTCCCTGCCAATCTTTATGTACATTAAAAAAGATATTAGAACTTTATAAATCATGCAAAAATGCTCTGATTCCTAACCACACAGAAATGCTCGAAGTCTTGACCACACAGAAATGCTGTGATTCCTAACCAAGCAGGAATGCATTAAAAAAAAAAATTAAAAGTTTAAATTAAAAGCTCGATTGTGAACTCACATGGAACACTTCCTTCGATGTTACAGTGGTAACCTGAACTCCCTAGACCACGGCCACAATAGACATGTGTTTGCTAATGATGCTTTTTCATAAACTTAGGTTGAGGGTTTAGGCACATGAATATATGGGAGGAGATGACGGAGGAAAATGATTGTATGGATGAGAAAAATGAGGGGAGGCATGAACTTATAAACTGCAACTAAGGGTTTACCCGACGAAATACTCTGTGAGGTAACTAAAAATACACGTCGAGTAATATTTAGGTGGTGGATTTTTTTGACATGTGGCCAATGGACTTTGGACCACCTTGAGAAATGTTTCCTGATGCATAGCTAAATCATTTTTTCACGATGACACATTTGTTTGTCGGTTAAAACTTCTCCTTGATATTGAAATTTGACCCGACGAATTGTCTCTTCACCTAAGATTTGGTAGGGCAAGCTAAAATTTCTGATAATGCGCTTCGATCCATTGTCATTCCTAACCATATCAACTATGTAGAGAGTTTGTCACTACATCAACATCAATTTGTTGTCTTCCCTTACTAAAATGAAACCGATGTACATTCAACAAAGTTAATTGATTAGCCTATGCCACTTAGCATTCTGCGCCACAGTAGTGATGCCCCCAAGAATTAAAAGTGGATGGTAGTACAAAACAATGGAAGAGGATTCCTCTCCTGAGTTCAGGATGGAGATTCTCCTGACCAGTCCATCTGGACCGCTCAAATTTAATCCAACAACTTCAAACAGGGAGATCTTCTAAAAATTATAATAATTACAATTGTTGGATTAAGTTTGAAAGGCCTAGATGGGCTAGTCAGGAGGATCCCCATCTTGAGCTCAGGAGAGGATCCTCTTCCCAAAACAATCGAGTAGGATCCTCTCCGGATCCTCTTTGTGGGGATCAAGATGATCAATCAATCATGTTCATTCATCGTACATCGTACGGTCAGTCTTCGTTAAGTACTATTTATATTTAATTTAAATTTTTAAATGATTTCTAGCAGCACGATGTACAATAAACGAACGCAATTGATTGATCTCCGAATCCCCACAAAGAGGATCCGGAGAGGATCCTTGGCCCAAAACAATAATGCTAGTCATACAATCATTTTGCACCCAGGAGGATCCTTGCTGGATCCTCTTTGTGGGGATCTTGAGAATCCTGTAATCACATTTATTCATCGTACATCGTGCAGATTTTTTATTTAAAATTGAATATAAACAATACTTGACAAAAACTGGTCACACGATGTACAATGAACGGATGTGATTGGAGGATCCCTGAGACCCTCACAAAAAGGATCCTGCGAGGATCCTCTCTCATTTTGCACCACATCTAAAAATCAAATGATGTGACAAAAATAATTTTATAACTAGAAAGAAAAATACATTTGGCATTCCAACCTTTCTATAATTAGAAAGAAAAATACACTTGTGAGAAGTGTATAATGAGATTTTTGGAGTGTCAATAACGGTTTCCATTTAATATTACTTTAGTACATCATGTATCACATATCTTATATGACAAAAATTTGTGATAAGTCTACATTACTCGTATAATACAACGACGTGACTATCATGATAACCAATTGATTCTGCTCAATATATTTAGCAAGTGGGAGAGCAATAACAATGGGAAACATTTCCGATTGTACATTAAAAAATGTGGTGAGAAACTCTCTTTTGATAGGAGTTGAGATATCATCAGTTATTTGTGCTCTCTTTTCTTCTGTCAAAGACCTGGATCTCTCGAAGATTAAGTGGTTGTACTGGCCTTGCATTCATCTCTGCATACTGATCCAAAAAAGAAACAAATAAGAAAATCAGATATATATGTGAAACTTGGCTAAGCACATACGATTAATTCATTTATTATCCAACAGTCAGATCTGCAAAGATATGATATTTTTGGGTTGAGGAGGGCTTTCCGAAAAAGAGTAGAGATGTGGAAACACTTACATCATGCACAGCGACTCGAAATAGCTTTACTTGATCCCTTGAAACTGTTCTTATCTGTTGGAAATATGTAAAATGAATTTGGTAAAGAGCCACATACTAAATTGATGGTCCAAATTAAAAAGGAAGCTTCATATATGAACTTTATATGATTTTGAGGGTTTTATTAAGGAGGACCAGTTAATTAATCACCTTTTTATTGATGGTCCAAATAACGCCTTCAGTGCAAGGAGGAACAGTGAGTGAGCCCATGTATCTGTAATAGTTTTTCTTATGGATTTTAATTTCTCGGGGATCAATTGTCCCTATGTTTCTCTCTTCCATCTGATCCATCATTGACTTTACATGCCCTGTCAACTGAAATCAATCCACAACTAGCAACATGTTAGGACAAATGTACTTTTCAATTTTCATAACCTACAACAGTTATGTTGAGATTTAGACGATCATCCAAGGCAAAAAAATTTACCAGCATTTACAATCTGGCAACATGTGTATTCATGTTTATTGGAACTTAAGCAATCGAGAATTTTTTTTTGATCTATGGAGTACGTATGTACCTTAGAAAGGAAAGAGTCAGGGCGACCAATCTTGTATAGGACGCCAACAACAGCGATCTTGTTTGTGACTTTGGGATCGGAGCTTAGATGAACCATGTGGAGCTCCATGTCGTACCTCCTGCCATTGACGGAATGCTCGGAAGGGGAGTGCCAGTGAGATTGTTTTAGCAAATACTGAGTACCATTTATGTGAATTGATCCAGCGTTGCCCTCCCAGTAAATCGAAATATCGTGGCCTCTATTCTTTACGGTGGCATTACAAGGATTGTAAGAGATGTTGAGCTTGCCCAAGTTTGGGACTAACGTGACCCTGTGACTCGATAAATCAATAGGAGATTGCAAGCCTCCATTCTTGCAGGCTGACCATTCTTTCTTCATCGCTCCCCACTGCTTCGGTCCCTTTCCACTTCCCTGAAGATAATCGAACTCTCGTTCATCTTCTGCAATACCAATATGAGTGTATCCACTTGTGAATAAACTTGCGACGAAAGAAAGAAACAAACAAACGGAACAAGAATATATAGGTATGTACTGTAATTTGTTGTGCTTACCAACTTCTTGAGCTGTGATCGATGTTGCGGAACATAAAAAGAATACTAAACAGAAAATGTATATGGGTTGGCTTTGATGCGACTTCTTCATGTTTATGTTTGTATCAAAGAGCGGATCAGAGATAATTGGTAATTGCAGTAAACCTCTTCCCTTTCCGGTGAGGCTTCTATGTGTCGCAGAATCGGAAAAATACTTGGACTAGCTAGTATAATATTACGGTGGAGGAGGTCAGGCGATCAGAGCTACAAAATTATGCAGATGGGTTTTAATTTAATTAGTACATGTATTTATATATAAACATATATGGATGAGAAAAACAGATATGTAAAGCGTGTACTATGACGTATATATAGCAGTGAAGCTTCTTACCTGTTTCTGTGTTTCTCGCCCGCGTATGAACGCGGCACTCGGATGTCAATAAAGAATGAACAAGGACAGGTTGTTTACAATAATAAAGGACATAGGCATCGGTGTTTTTGGCCACTTTCTACTTAGACTAATTATTCAAAGGAATTTCACCCTTTTAGTTTAGACTAGTAATCGTTTGATCCTTGTTTCTTAGAAATCAACAAAAATAATTCATAAACTAAAATGTTTCTTTTTTTTAGGATCATAAAGTAAAATGTAATCACGCTATTGTTTTTCGGTCTGACTAACTATTAAGTTATCACTATTTTCATACTACCAATCAGTGACGATATTTTTAACTCACTTAAATGTTTCATTGGTGTCATGTGAGTCATTTTTCATATATGCTGGATTGAGGTTGATTTTAAGTAAAAATAGACGTGGCATATGCGATGAATGATAATGGAGTGGAGAGATTTTAACTTTAGGATGGTTGTAATTGGTGGACAGTCCTATTAAATAAAATCTTTCTCTTCGCCTTCATTTTTATTTTATTTTATAATAATGTAGATATTAGATTAGAATACTGTTGTGCATGTGGGCGTAAGTTGATGGGTTTGTCAGGGAGTTGGAAGAAATGGACAGAAACAAAAGGCCTCACCAAGGTGTCGTGGCACACTAGCAATGTTGACTTTTGTTAGACTTAGACTAACAGTGTAGGACAGGGGCACATTAATTCGTAACGAGTGACGAAACTTTTAGAATCAGATGAACACCTGAAAGTGAATACAAACTTCCGACCTTCCATCAGTCATCGTTTTAGCTCTTTCATTTTATACAACCATTGTCCGTGACCACGGTCAGTTTTTCTCTCAATCATCGGACAGTCGATGATATTTGGTCTACTAATAAGTTACTTATTTTTTAGGATGAAAATCAAATCTCATATCACGAATTTAATTTAATAGATAAAAATAATATATGTTCCTTATGATACGAACAACTATAAAGCAAATTGTGATATAGTTGTCATTTTTAAAATTTTGTAGGATTTGTGTGAAAACTTATTTTCCACGAGCACCAAGAAATTGTTCAGAAACACATCCAGGAGTTTTCTAAAAGCAAAATTAGTTTTTATCATATTTTATGGATAAGACTTAGAAAAAGAAAATCGGTTCACACGTTTCCCTGGTTGTTAGCAACCTGCAAGTTGTAATTGTCCAAGAAAAGATCTACCAAACCTTTGAAAATTTTTGTATACATAGAAAAATCCATCAACCTGTGGCGGTGGAGAAAGAGGTGTAATATCCACATACCTTTTTTTACTTTTCACATATTCTTTTAATTTTCGACCGTCGGATCAAATGAATTGAAGAAGATCAACGAACAGAAATTAACAAAAGGTGTGTGAGAAGTAAAAAGGAGTGTGTGGATAGCGCATCCCATAAAGAAATTCTTTTGTGCGGAGACCAGACCAATTGGCCGTACGACCCTCACACACACAAAATCGTCGCTACCCTACTACTGATTTTTTTATGTTCATTCGGCCCTATTTGTGTCTTATCCCTCTCACACAACATATGGACCCACAACCGACGGTGGCTGCACTTAAGACCTTCTCGTGACGGTGAGGTTGGAGGAAAGGAAAAACTACATCTAAGCTAAGCAACCAAATTACGTGCACTGAGCTATCATATAATTGGATACAGATTTCCGATTACGTGCAGTTATATATCATCTTCCGCATTGCTACTCCGACAACCAAATAGTAGGCATTATTTTGGGGAGAAAAGA